GTAGCTGTATAGGATGTTACAAATTTTGTTTCGTGTACGTGATGGACTGCGGATGGGCGAACTTCACATATATTTGAAATATTGTAGCCAAAAATCTGTGAACAAAGCAAAAATGGTCCAGAGTTCCTGATTTAAGTTTTCGAGACATTCGCAGTTTTGGAGTTGGATGAAAAAAAAAAGGTATTTCGCGGGTTTAAATTGAATATAACTTACTCCTTTATTCTTTATAACTTCATTTATAAATTGACTTTATATCATCATCGTCATCATCATTTCAGCCTGTTTCGAGTCCACTGCCGAACATTGGCCTCTGCAGACCACAAAGGACCATGATCCTGAGTCATCCGAATCCATAGACTACCTGCACTCTTGCACAGGTTGTCACTTCGTCTAGTAGGGTCGTCCTACACTACAGGAAAGTCAGTGCTATATGTTTAGGACACATTTTTACACAATATTCTCTAGTCCCAAACTAAGGAAAGCTTGTACTATGGGTACTAGAAAACTGATAAACACTTTTCTTTTGTAACACTAGAAAAATACCATGTTCATCTTACAATATTTTTCTAGGAGTGGGGATCGAACCCACACCGTCTGGCGCAGGAGGCAGGTACACTACCCACAACGCCATTCGGGTCAAACGCCACTACGATGGCCAATACGCGGTTTTCCCTCGAGATCCTTTCTTCCCCATTTGTTATCGTTTCATCGAGCTATGGCCGGCCCATTACCACTTTAGATTACTAAGCCTTTAACACTTTCAGGGTGTTCCAATTTCTGCAATATCTATAATAATATCTGTAGCATTATCTCCCTTCTTGTTAGTCGTATCACGCTACCGTTGCCCAAAATAAATGACGGAGCACCGTTGACGACGACCTGTCGCGTTGCGAATAGTTCGACGCGATATCTCTCAATGCTTGGCTACTTACGATTGTGGCCTTCATCATATCAAGAAGCATTTTAAATCATATATTTGTAACATAGGCCTTATTTCTCGAACCTACCTTATATGCAGAACGAGGAGGAGAAATGACGACGAAACTAAAATCTCAACGAGTAATAAAATATTTATTAAAGCTCAACTAGCATAAACAATTAGATATTAAAAACGTGTACATAGGGACAAATTAATAATATTGCTCTTAATAATGTTCTTAAATATAACAAAATTCAAAATCGGATTACGGTAAGAAATCATTTAAATTCAGACGCTATGTCTGATTTTACATTCATCCAATGGCGCAGGTGGCGATACAAGGCTACAAGTTGACTTCAAGACTTGTAGTCTTATATTGCTTACAGACCACGAACATTTCATAGTTAGCACAGACAAATAAAAAAGTAAAACAGTGAAAATTAATAAAATTAAGATTATGAAAGTAATGATTAACCGGAAAATTATTGGTTACCAATAAAAAGGCTTCAACATACCGATCAGAGTTACACATTGTAAGTTAAATGTAAATACTCTGTCAGAAATCAGAAGAATGGATCACTGGACCACTGTTTTCCTTAGTGTTATTAAATTAAAAAAAAATATTATTAAAATTATAAAATGACGATAAAATATTACATAACGATATATTCAATTCATTAGGATACTTACAAAAATCAATTAAAAGTATTTTCTTAGACTAGGGAAAAAAGGCTTTCAAAAAAATTTCTTCTGACATTTTCAATTAGATTTTTCAACACCGCATAACAATATTCTTAATAATTTACGTGAAATTAGATAAAACACAGTTGAATCGATATTAACTCTTATAATTGATAACTGCTTCCGTGATATAATCGTATGCACTGTGGTTATTATTACAGGGATCCAAAAACGGTTGTATTTACTAGTTCATAACTCAAACACTGACTATAGAGCCACTAGCAAATAATTCGAAACAAATTGAAATAAATAATTTTTTCATTACTTTCAATTCAATAACAAATACTAAATGAAATTTATGTTTACGGATTTATCATTTATTCTTATTTTACTAATTTATTTTTAATTTTATTTCCCGCAGATCGACGCGTAGATCGAGGATCGGAGAGAGAAGATGGCGGTAGCTCAAACTAACAATCACACTCGGACTTCCAACGCCTCAGTCTGTCCTGTGACCATGAACGCTAAAGAATATTCGAAACGTCGGGAAATAAAACCTAAAAATAAACGCCATGAATCCGTAAACATTAAGTAATGAGCAAAAATACAAGAAAATATTATTAGATAACAAACTGACTCGGCAAACGTTGTTTTGCCATATAGATTATTTCTCGTGGAATCGGAACGCGTTCAAGAATCGTTTGACAGGTTGACAGGTACAGTTTGTACAGGTACTATTTGGATTTTCCATGCAATTTTTCCATAATTTCTTATCGTTTAAACCTTCCCTGGACTGACACGAATATATAAAAACCAAAATTAGCCAAATCGACCCAGCTGTTCTCGAGTTTTACCGAGACTAACGAACAGCAATCCATTTTTATATATAAGAAGATGTTTTTCTCGGCCATATTATATGTTCATTTCATAAAACAATGTTTCAAAAACTCCTCCAGCCACACAGGAGTACTGATCGCGTTTCTAAATTTATTATTGTGTAAAACTTATATTCTTATACATAAATAATTGGCATATAGCATACACACCGTTCAAACGAACGTTTGGTCTAATAATATGTAATATACACAATACAAACTGAGTTTGATAGCAATTAAAACTTATGATGGGTAAATATAATATTTACTCTTAAATTATAATGTGAGGTCCTTGCCATGACAACATGACAAAACGGAAACAAAAACAAAATAGATTATTAATTTATGTTATATCCCATATATTTATAGTGCATTCCAAATGAATGAGAACACTTCATAAACTAATTACTCTGAAGACTATTTTTAAGTAAAACAAAAACTATGCAAAACGGGATACAGAAAAAAAACAAGATAGAATTACCTATTATGCCTTTGGGGTATGTTTCAGGTTAAACATCTCCAAGTTGAACTCAACTTCAACTAAATATGGACTATTTTAAATTACCTTGTCATCAACAAATGACTAAAATTTTAAAATTAAAATAGTCAATTATTTTTCTTATTTACATGCTTTACCTATTTGTTCTTATCACAATATAACATCTAATATGGAAGGCTGCGCGATAGACTTGGTTACTCGCTAAATATACATTTGTTGTATATACAGTTTCTTGTTTTTCTAAATATATCAATTCATATACTTCGTTACAGGCAGGTTTTACATACACTGAAGGTATTTTAACGAAGCTAAGACCTATGTTATGGAACAGAGGTTTTCTAACATGAGGATGGTAACAGTACAAAAACTACTCATCCTATATTGTTGGTATTATTACATGTCTTACTCTATTGTTACATATAAGTCTACAATGTCTGTATAAAACTGAATATTTGCAATCTGCATATAATTGAGTACATGCATACAACAATCATCTGTAGGCCTTTATTTTTATAAAATAAGGTGTTCTAAATGTAAAATACTTAAAAATCATTTAAAAACCTTTATGACATTTTGTAACGGTCGGATTAAACATTCAGAAATAATAAAATACAATTAAAATATATCTGCCATAAACTATGCAATTTATCATAATGTGTACATAATAAAATATTTGTGTAGTTCTTACATACTTGAGTACCATTGATAATTTATAAAGTTGAGATTAGAAGAAGTATTTTAATCTTTTCTTGCATAGTTTATATCTCTTACCATATAGAACATTTCAGTGAAAGACAAAAACATTACAAGAACGGAATAATACATTACCATGCCTAGTCTATTCATATAGATATCTACATTTTAATGATTATATGTTATATAAGCTCTGTTTTTACATAACAATAGCTTGATTGTTTTGATTAGCCTTGTTACAAAGTGTTAATAAGTGATTGCAAAAAAAAAACTAACAAAAGATCTACAAACATCTTTAGATGTCTCCATATTTATACTGTATTTTTTAAAAAAGTAACAAGCATTATAAACTAAATCTTGAATAGTTTTATTATCTTACGAATACTCAGCAAATTAATTACCACAGTGTCCGAACAGATATGTATTGGGAGGAACAATATCATATTGCTATATCTGATTTATGTATGCTTTCAGAAGTCTAACTACATTATTATTTACATATTTTCATAACATATATAATATAAATTTACAGTAAATTTGTTTATTATGAATAAGTTCATTATAAATTAAATTATTGACATTTGTATGCATATACATTAATACAACATCAATGTATAGATATTTCTAGAATATGCTGTATTTTTAACACATTTAGTTTGTTTGTGTGACAAGTTAATTAAGATGTTCAGAATATGAGGAAATGAATTTCTTTTATAATAATTATAACAAAATCTCCAAAGGCGGTCTGAATGTAAATTTTCTATTTTTGAATAATAAAATATGGGAATGGTATCATTTTATTTGTCTCCTTTAAGAATTGCTTTTGAAAGGTCAAAAATTTTGCTCTTGCGAAAGAAATTGAGCACAGTGCCGATAAAAAACGCGCGTGACATTCTGCAGGAGGAAATAACTGCCGTTCAGTTATTACCCGTTCTTACCCAATTACCTCCTTTCAGATCTAGAGTAGATCTTCATACTTTCAAGCTAAATAAAAATCATGCTATTACGTGAAGCGATTGGTGTTACTAATTGCATTAACATAAATTTCCCTAAATCAAATATATTTGCTGTGTGCTAACGGTTATTCTGTAAACAGCTGTCGATAACAATCGCTACGTATCAGCGTAGAACGGATCGTGTTACGATAGAAATAAAGTCCACTATCTAATATCACTTGCCGTTTGGTGCGTGGACACACCACGGCGGCGCACTCAGTCAGTACCGACGTACGCGCCAACGGTCGTGTCGGGTACGCGTGTGGTGACACCGTGACGTCACACAGTGCTTGCGCCCAACGTCACACAAAAGTGACGCCGTGACGTCACTGTAGTCACACCGCGTTCAATGGAACCGCGCATACCTGCAATTGAAAACGGAGAACTTTTTTTTAATTCTTTTTAAGCCTCGATCACGACATCTTACTATCTTTATTAATATTATAAAGGCGAAAGTTTGTATGTATGTATGGATGGATGTTTGTTACTCTTTCACGCAAATAACATCAGAATAAATGGCTTATAACATCAGAATAAAACATAGGATATAATTTATATACATATTTTTATGTATAAAATCTTTCTGTCTGAATGTTACGCCTTAAGCCTATTCCACGCAGACGTAGTCGCGGGCAGCTAGTGATAAATATAAATATACTAAGAAATTGTTATCTCAATTTGAGAGCGACTTAAAGGCACATAAAAATGGATTAGACAAATGATACGACGAATTCAGTTGGCTCAGTGACTAGGCGCGTTCGAGGGTTCGATTCCAATAAGTAAAAGGGTAAGATTCTAATATAATTGTGGCAGGACCAGAAGCAGCTTCGGCTGTGCCACGGGCTCACTGAAAACCGGAACGGAGTAGAAGTGATATATACGCCACACACGCTACGGTCTACAGGGGATGTTACCTGTGCAGGGCCTACGCCGGTGTCACTAGAAAAAAAATATTTTCGATTTCTGTGGCGTACATTACACTTTTGCGTTCCGTCTGGAGAATAAGGTAGCCGGGGCGCAATTCTTTTAAAATTGACTACGCATTTGCCACCCCAAAGAAGTTGCAATTGTCGATTGTCCGCACTTTACACTAGCATGGGGTCAGCTATTTGCTTGCCAACTTTTCACATAAAAATCAAGGCTGGTGAATGTATCTGAATGTATCCTGTAGAAATTCGGGACTGGAATGACTGAAATAGAGGGACTGGCTTTGCTTGCCAATTTTTCACATAAAAATCAAGGCTGATTTAGGATCAGCTGAATGAATGAGTGAATGATCAGAGTGTAGTGAATGTGTAGTTTACAAACGAGTGACCGAATAAAATAGGTACTCCATATTACTTAGTGCATAATCTTAGAGTTCAGCGAATGGGCAGCTTAAGAACAGATGACTGAATGAAACGAATGAGCGAGTAAGTGAATGAAACGAATGACTGAATGAAATTGGTACTCCACCTGCGCTGCCTCGTGCGCTACAACTGGAAGAGGTCGTCGTGCGCCCTCTCCAACCGCCTGAGGGAGCTGTCGACGCGGCGGCCCTGGGTGAGGGCGGGCGGCGGCGGCGGAAGGGGCGGCGGTATCACCTCGTTGTACGACGTCGAGGCGCCCATCGACGCGGACTGGCGGAGGCGCGCGGTGGGCCGGTGGCGCACGAAGCCGTCCTCCAAATCCCGCACGAACCTGAAGAAGCCCAATAGGGAGTTGTTAGAACGTCATCATCACTACATAGTATAAGACAAAGTCGTCCCGCTGTGTGTCTGTCCCTATGTATGCCTAAATATTTAAAACTACGCAACGGATCTTGATGCGGTTTTTTTTTACTAGATAGAGTAATTCAAGAGGAAGGAGGTTTATAGGGTCGCTAGTATTGACAAAAGTAAAAAAGTGACAGCCTATATGTCTCCCACTATTGTGCAAAGACCTCATCTGTACAGAGGGTTAGGGCTTAGACTATATCCCAACTGTCTGCCGCATAGTTCACCAAACCGCGCTGAGTATTGGCAGACTTCACGTATCTCCGAAATATATTTTTTATTATTTCGTAAATATGTGCTCTCCTCACGATGTTTTCCTTCACCGTTGACCACGCAGTCAGCCCATAAAATTGCATTTTGATAACTTCATTGCTGCCGGCACCGGTAATTGAACTCAGGTTGCTGGAGTATATTGAATTAAAAGCGAGCGCCCGGACACTTAACTATCACGGCTATCCATCACTCATTAGCTCCTCATCGGACACTAAACAAGAAATGTGTACGTGTACGAAATGTTTGTTCATGCACACGTAGAGTCAACGTGTATTGTGAATGTCAGTGCGTATTGTCAAGTGTTATTGAGATAGTAGCTCTTTGACCATGTCACCTACATTCGAAAGGTAAATGATTTACATTTAGAATCAAGGAATGGTAAAACATTTGCGTTGAGAAGTCAATCCTCGCTTAACTGCCATTACTTTATCAAGTTCAATATCGCGATTGGCGATGTTCGCAAGTAATTGCCGCGCATTTACGTCCTTGACAACGGCAAGATCACATTAAAGGTTCCATGTCACTTTCGTTATTACATTGGAATAAACTGTTGCCTTGAAACTCCCAAATATGTCGAATCTTTCTTTAGGCTTGATCGGAGAATATTGAAATTACTAATCAAAAAATAAGCTAGTTTGAATAGATCGTACCCCGTGTCACTGAAGGATAATGTAGCTTTGTATTAATGAAACAATGCCACATTAAGTTAGCATATAGTGTACAGTAAAATTTTCAGTAAGTTTTTACGATAATGAACATGCTATTTCAGTACAATGCGGTGGTAAATAAGTAAATAATATATAAATAAATATTCCAGGATATATTTTAACACAACCATACCTACCAGGTCACAAATTAACAGCGGTAGCGACCTCACAGAAGACCGGCGTAAAGTAAAAGTGTTACACTTCTGCGTTTCGTCTGATGAGTGAGGCAATTTCAAAGACTTAAATCAAGTTTAGGCTACCTAGCTTAAATAAAGTTTAAGCTGCCGAGCGGGTTATGTCGGACTCGCACCGACTAAAACCCCCACGATGTTCCACCTAGGCGCATAACGGCAGGGTCACGGGAACGCTTTCGCCCACTCCCGTGACCCTACCAGCGCCGGCCGCCTAAGCAGCCCCCTCCCAAACTTTATGTAAGCCTGGCCCTGCCACAAAACATACTAATTAAACTAGTTGACTTAAACATCCTACTTCTAGAAGCGTCATATAAAAGCAGCTTCTCTATACAGACAATTGATCATTTCGTTTAATATTTTACGTTTCGCCACAATTCATGACCGATTATGTCAAGACAGACAAGATATAAGATATTGTACGTTGAGGAGCAAAACATCGGGTCTCTCGGTGTTTTATTGTCATCAATCTCGTGTCGTCAACATAGGCTTTATCAGTTTTCTGTTACAGAGAAATATGCGAGTTATTTGTAAAAAGAGGCACGTCGACAGGGCTAATATCGTCATGTTTTTAATAACCATTTTTTTTTAGTAACGAGAAACAAAACCGGCTTCAAATGTCTCGCTCTGTCATTGTCATCATTTTATAATGGATTTTCAGGAATTCCATAAGTATTTGCAGGGCCCAAGATCCAGTACCCAATGAAATTAATATGGTACCAAATGGGAAGCGCCAGCTTTCAAATAAAAAAAGAATCATCAAAACCGGTTCTCTCAGTAAAAAGTTCAGAGGTAAAAAATTTTATTTTTTTTACCTCTGAACTTTGAACACAGTCGAATTGAGAACCTCCTCATTTTAAAGTCGGTTAAAAAGAAGCTGTAAATTACTCATGTTATGTTCTCATTTGAAAAGGGAAAAAAACATTTTTAGTAACAATATAACGATCGGCATAGCGTCGTTCGTAACGGAATTCTAAGGGGGTGGGCGAATGTGGAACAGTGGACGTCTAGAATGGATGACGATGATTAATACCGTTATTCTGAACGTGGTATACACCATATAAGAGAACACCCGCCAACCGGAGGGGTGACATTACCGATTTTATCCTTAAACATTTAACAAAACATTTTAAAGTAATTAAAGAAATAAAAGTAGGTAGTTAAGTCATTCCGGTTACTTTTAGTGGTGACTTTTTCATAATAAAAGAAAACTATAAAATCGGTAGTGTATTAAAATCCTAATTGAGGTATCAGATAATATAATGATTAGCCCAATTAAACAAATCTAAACGAACTAAAAACCCAAGACATCATCGATCCATTACAAAAAAACATTCTGCATTATACTTTTCGTCCCAATTGATAACAAAGCGTATTAATCATTCTCATTCTTAGCCATTATTGGCGTGCACCGATTTCACGCTTTGGCCTTTTAAAATTGTTGGTGTGAAAAATCATATCCTAAATTCGCGCCCGTTGTACATAGGCAAGCTTATCAAATAAAAAGTTCAGAGAATTTAGGAGCAGCATTAATAGTTCCAACAAATAATGAATATCTCTATGCCCTCAGGTTGTTTTTTTCTTAGCACATTTTGAACTTGTCATAATCGGCGATCACAAGTGACATGATTATTAACAATGTTCAGTAACGCCATCTGTTGTCGGCGGGTCGACAGCTGTCGAGGACCATTGTTTCATTCTCTTTATGTTTAGACAAAGGATAAAAATCTCATACAGCCAGATTTACATAACTTATGGTGTTATCAAGCCTTAGTTCCCAAAAAAGATTCAAACAACACCAAGAAACCGCTCCAAACATAATACTTTCGTTAATTAGTGCTAGCCGAATTGACTCTTTTTAACCTATGTCCTTAACATTGTAGCGAAATGTCATGGGAACAGTTTTTTGCCCAGCGACACATTCTCAAGACGCCACACAGACAGAGCAAATTAAATATTATATATACTTGGTTAACCAGTTCCTATTAAGAAGGCAATAAAATAGATCACCATCCGCCGAAGACAAGTTTAAACAGACTCATATAGCGCGCACATATATGTCCAGAGGCGGAATTAGCCCACTTGCCGTATCCGTCCGCGAATCTGTGCAGACGCTTCGAAAAACAGTTTGTTACCCCTATAGGAATAGAGACGTGTTTCCCTTGGCACTATTTATGTGAAGTTAATTCGAATAAACAGAGTCCGGCGTCGCTATTGTCCTAACAATCATCTGTTGTAAGTAAGTAAAAGTTATTCACCTGAATCCATTTTTTTTTTTTTTAATTTTAGCTCTATAAAATTAAACTATATATCAAACTATAATAGTAAAAATGATCAGATGGATACGAAGTGAATTAACTTAAATCTGTCGACATTAAAATCGACCGGACGAGATTCTTGATCGCTCGTATTCGAAAACTAACGTGCTCTCTCACAGTATAATATGCATAAATTTTAACGATATCACTTTCGAATGGAGTCTCGAATACTTTAAATCCATAGTCACGCGACAGACCGTAAAGTTGGTTGTTATTTGAAAGATAACGTGGGGAAACCTCGAGATTTCGAATATAAACTTTGCCCGATCTATGCAAGATCCTACATAACTATGAGGTGGTGCGGCAGTAATTAATTATTGGTACAGATTGTTTAAAAGGTTCAAATTAACTAACGCACAAGTGGGCTTTGAAAGCGCATCCAAATTTAGGCCGCGAATACAAGCAATAGTGTCACGAACAATGGAGTAAAAGGAATGCTTTCGGGGCGTACTAATTTTAGAACCGCACACAGCACTCGGGCGTACCAAGACCGATAAATGGGTCATCCACTCGGATGTTTTCGCATTGCGAAGTGTGCGAAAAGAATTCAAATCTCGCTTTTGCGTTACATTCGCGTGACCGGATGGTTTCTTACTCCCGTCTGAATAAACTATGCGTCTCCAATCAGAGTCTCGATATAAAAAATATTAGAAGTCTTCGGAAATATAATTCGGAAAGTGTTTAAGAAATAGGCTGTATGCTCCTGGTATCTGGTGAAAAACGCATAATCAAGTTTTATTATAAAAGTATGCCTGTCTTTGCTTGCAAATATCCCGACAACACACTACCCACGCATGGTGTAAGCATACAACACCAATTAATTCGTCCTTGACATTAACAAAACGCATACACAAGGAATACCCGATTCCAAGGCTCCCACCGTCCCCAGTGAAAGATTGAATACACACACACAACCACACACAATCACACATACACAACCACACACAATCACACACACATATGGTTGTATGTTCGATGGAATACAGTCAACTGCCATCGGGCTCACGACCTATATCAAACCTCGATGGCCCGTAGGGAAGATACCAGCCCATTAGATAAAGCACTAGCTGTGTTATGAGTTTTACGTTCAACGAAACTTTGATAGTGTACAGACAGAAGCGGAGCATAAACATTAGTTATAGTAAGGAAAGCTTGCAAAGATACAAATACTGTACCTACAACGTTGCCGAGAAGAATCATCGCTCGTATGGCTATTTAAAGCATCAGACTGAGACCACACCAAGAAAGAGAAGACTTATCAACTGCAGAATCATCGATTCTTACTTTAAATGAAATAGCATTTATACAATGCATTACTTTATTCCGTTTTGAACCGCTAGAACTGCATGGTGTCAAATAACATCCCGGGCCGGCTCTCTAGACATCTTCATAAAAGCATCTTCTTTACAGATCATATGTGATTGCAATATATTATTCATGGTAGAGGAAAACATTTTTGCGTAGTGTTTGTTATAGGAAGAAACATTTGGAAGATAGTTACGCCGTATAATATCGATTAAACAATTAAAATAATTGTCTCAACTATCAACATTTTTTGTTTCAACATTAACATTTAAGGGAGTTTGCCAATAAAAATAATAGAATTTTAAACATGTTAAATGTTTAAACGTCATGTTTGAAACAACAGAAAACAACAAATGACCTTGAGACCGTAACTAAATATAAATATCATATTTTTTTAATTACAATAAACCTTTCGAATATGTACATAATTTAGAAATCGAATGAAACATTTTGGTACTTTTATTTTAACCAAACCATCTGGAGGCCGACAATTTATACAAAGTGAGATGAAAAATACATGGTCAATTTACGGGTGGGTAAATAAACAAGTTACAACAAAGTGAAGTTCTAGCAACAATAAAAAGGAACCTTAATATGCAAACTCAAATCGAAGAAACTTGCTACACATTTAATCCATTACAATTAAATAAATATCATATAAATAAACAAAACGCAAAAGGGTTCGGTAACAAAAGATAAATGAAAAAGAAGCCCTATACCTTTCATCCTAAAACTTAAAATTGTACAATCATATGCCAAGAACGAATACCAAGTTATCTCTCAAGTAGCCAAAGCGCTTATCAAGTTCGAGGTAAATGAACCCAACGGCGCCTAACATTATACATTGTAGGTATATGTTATTACATATATATATATTACAAAACTTAAAAAAAATATACAAACCGAAGGATTTAAAAGCGCAGAATAAAATCGAAAAGTGCAGAAGCTGTATCGTCAAAGATCACACATTCGAAATGTGCATAAAATAATGTTTCCTGCGTTTCTTATCTTTGTGAAATATTTGTCTCTAAATGAAGTCAAACAGAGCTGAGAATCCCGAAGTAATAACAAGGGAAAACCTAAATTAATATAATTTAGAAGTCACATCTATTTTTAAAATACTTCAGGATTCTCAATTCGGTTGCATTTTATTTTTATATAAAATTTTTAACTCAGACCTCCATCGTTTATGGACTGATTTTATTCTTTTTTTTTGCATCTTAACATTAATCACAAATTTGAACAACTATTTCCTTAAATACAAAGAAAGCTTCACAGCGTTCTAAAAACGATAGGTGTAAACAAATACCGGACTGCCTCGCATCGACTCGTAAATTATAACCAAAAAAAAATCTTTATCATCATCATCAACAGCAAGACGTCCACTGTTCAACAAAGGCCTCCCCCTTAGAACGCCACGAGTGACGACACTGCCATTTGCATCTAACGGTAGCCCGCGACTCTTACGATGTCATCGTTCCACCTAGTGAGAGGCCTTCCAAATACCTACGGATAGCTTTATGGGTACACATCAACAGCTGTTTCAATTTAACTCACGAATTCACTCTTTTCTGCATTCATGATCACTGGTTCTATAACCATGCATCACATGCAGTGGACTGCACTATTGCAGTCCACTGCAACACAACACATGCAGTGGACTGCACTATTGCAGTCCACTGCATGTGTTGTGCTCTTTCGTTTTCGATGCCCGAAACGATTCATTAATTTACCACAATGCTCACTGTTTTTTACATTTATCATTGTTTCATATTAGTGCTCAGTTTAATTATACCGGATTGGAATTGAATTACACGGGACTAGCTTTTATTGAGCCACCGGGTCGCCAATTAGCTACAAAAGCTAAAAAAAGCGAGATCGTTTTCAAGAGAAAAGTAGTAGCGTACTTTCATGACCCAGAAAATGTTAACGGCGAATTTCAGTTACGATGTGTCGTTAGTTATGACATGTGCCGATTTCAGTGGAACCAATTGAGAGGCTAATTGTTTGCTATTTATTAATGAATGTTTAACAAAATAAATATAAATCGTAAAAAAATTAAGAGGTTTTCCGTTTAAACCTGCCAACTTCACACTGCATTTGAACTGTTTTCTATTCCATCAGATTCGAGACTTTTACAACTAAGTCCTTTGACAAATATAGTGTTAAAAGACGATCCAATCCTTGCATGTGTCAGTTATTAACTTGTAACAGGGTTTGGTTCGTTAAAAAGATAAAATATTCCTCCGATCTACTCATAACAATCAGAAAACGTATGCATATTAATGAAGCGTAAGATACCTTAATAATTAACAATTCCTTTAAACTTAATTCAAAGACGATAAGATAAAAAAAAATGGACGGAAAAAAACTGACTATGAATCAAAGCGGCAAATAAGAAAGGCTACTACGTTCGCGTCACATGATCTGCGGCGACGCGTAGAAAGCCGCAAAAACACGGGCACTCGCGACCTTGGACAGGCCGAGTAATGATGTGCGAAAAATCTAAATAACATATCTTGCACTGCATATACCACCTACGCGTTTGAGTTATGAGAGATTTCATACAGTGTATGCACTAAAAAACAAAAACTTACAAATGATTACACTTTAAACTCAATAATCAAAGGAAAGTATAGAGTTAAAGTAAAATTATCATTAACAATTATTAACACCTGTAAATGATTAATCTTTAATATAACTTGTGGCTTTTAATCATTAATTTTCAATTTTTGAATTGATAAGGCAATGCACACCACATTACATTTAAGTGATATTAACTTTAGTTTTATACTACTAAATGTTTTCAGATTTAGACTATATGTTTCAGGCTTTGGCCTTGGGGATATTGGTAATTTTAGTAATTTAGTTTTAGTATAAGTTGTTATTTATGACAAATGCACCTTACTTTTCACAGCGAAAAAGAGAACATTAGGTGGAACCAGGCACATTATTAAAATAATAACAAAAAATATCTCCACAGTATGAGAAGTCTGCCAAAACGCAGTGTGGTCTCTTGGTGGACCTTAATTACTTCTGAATAGAAGAGGACTTTGCCCAGAAATGGGAAATATTTATAACATTCACTTTATTTTAAATTATAACAGTTAAAAGATTTAAATATAACAAAAATAAAACACTACTGTGGTAGAGCCACGCAGCAGTTTCTACTAACTGCACAAACAGACATCTGGAGAAGTAACACAGCCTCTCAGAAAACCAGCGTGAAGAGGCTATACATTCGCGTTTTGTCCAATGCATAAGGTAACTGGAGATTTTTTTAAAAGATTGTCAACCTAAAAAAAGTTAGATGTTGCCATCCATGGGCGGCATCACTTAATATCAGGTGAAACTTCTTGACAACTTCTCAAATTAAAAAAAAGGCACTACTTTAAATTATTTTCAATTGTGTCTAATGGTTATAATGGTCAGTTATCAGCTGTTATATAACATGAACATTAACGAAAACCATAGAAACACTGACACAATCTGTGATTGATAACCCAAATTATTTTACGCATACAAGTAAATTCCCTTATTATCTCTATTGTTCCAAAATACAGAGGACAAAAGCCATTTGCTATTATGCTTACTATGATAGTACAAATCTTTTAAATAAGCATCATACAATAAACTCATTATCAATGTCTGAGTAAACAATACCTATCATACAGGACATATATTTACCTTATATTAATTTTATCTAGTCTGTACTAGATAACATTAATATAACTCTTTAGTTAATTAAAAAAATTCTTTACAACTGTTTGAGCATATTAAAACAAGTTAAAACACATGACTGTAACTCTTAAGATGGTGGTAGTAAAAAAGCAAAATTAAAGGAAATCATTTACTAAGTGGAGTTTTGCTCCAAGATTTATGTAATAAAGAATTTTAATAGATTATTTTATTATCTGATGCTTCTGATATTTTTTTTAAATGTTGGTTTAAATAAAATATAAAGTCAAGTTTTATGCATTCTAAACAATTATAGTTTAAAAATGTATCTTGGGAAAGTAAAATAATATTGTCGTAAGTAATTATAAAATGAGCCATGATAGCTCAGTGTCCGGGCGCTCGCCTTTAATTCAATATACTCGAGCAACCTGAGTTCGATCCCCGGTGCCGGCACCAATGATTTTTTTAACTTGCTTTAAGTGCTGACTTATCACGTGCTCCGCGGTGAAAGAAAACATTGTGATGAAACCTTCATATTTTCGAATTAATAACAAAAAAAAAATTTCGAAGATACGTGAAGTCCACCAATCCACAGTGGGGCCGCGTGGTGGACTATGCCCTGATACCCTCTGTATAAAGGAGGCCTTTGCCCAGCAGTGGGACATGTATAGGCTGTTACTTTAAGTATAAAATATACTCACTCGCTGTTTTCTTTGCTTTTCTCCACATGTTTCTTTATGTCAGCAAGTGAGGAATCCAATCTGTTAAGGAAGTTATCAAAACTTTTCTTTTCATCCGGACTTCCAGGGGAAAAGTCCTGGGAGTTTCTGGTTGACATATCAAACATTGACGCACGGTGTAGAGGCATTGCAGGTTCCGTAACTCGTTCACCATTTTGGTAAAACGGGGAGTCTCTAGTTACCGGAATAAGTAAATATTCTCTCAAAAAAAGACTGTCAGTCGCAAAAAGACGATTAGCACGTCTAATTTTTTCCATCTGAAATAAATGGAATTAAACAACTTAAATGTAAAATTGTCAATTAATAATAAGTTTATTAATTTATTTATTATGATATAGACTTACTGTAACGCCATATTTAAGAGCGATTCCTTGTAATGTATCACCTTTTGACATAACATGCTTTATGTACTCCTCGTCCCTTTTCATATGATTGCATGTGCTTCCGTACTTTTTTAATGGGCGAGCGGAATCTCGTATAGAAATCCGTTCATCAAAAAGACGATCCTCCTCCATATTTGACGTATACGAAAATGAAATGAAATGAATTAATATCAAGGAAACAGATTACAAAATTTACACTTTAAAGTGACAACTAGCACAGATTGTAAAATGGAGTAAAAATGTCTGTATTTATTCAAATTATATATTTTTTATATTCAATTACCTACATCACAGCTTGCAAAGACATAAATGCATTGACATAGTTTTGTGTTATTTATAAATATATATTACATTACTTTTTTTATAAATAATTTTGTTTGATATTTACTTTAATAAATCTTAGTATGTTTTCAAAATACCAAAACATCCACTGTGGAAATAATACCAAGATTCGCTATAATTTATTAGTTAAAATCAAAGCTACGTTTTTAACAAGTTAGTAATGATATAATTTATTACCAAGTAACTCGGACAGATGGCGCGAGTTAAAGCTAACTTTAAATACCTATAGCCATAGCATAACTTTGTAAAAGATTCGTTCCGTTCTTCATTCAATTCATTGATTCACTCTTTCATTCAGTCAGTCAGTCTCCGGGTAAATTTTGTCGGAGAAGGATTGTTGTTGTGTAGTCGCCTGATAACTTCAATTGTTTTGGTTGAAGTAGTTTTAGTGTCTTTATACTTTTGTTTCTCTAAAGAACCATTTTATAAGTTTATTGGTTTTTTATTATATATTTTTAGTGACATTAAGTTATAATTATCTTTTGCCTAAATTTGTTTGAATAAACACATGTGATCAATAAAATTAAGTTCGCAAGTTCTCGTATTAAACGCAGGTATGTATGAATTAAAATAATACATTAAAATTTTGTTTGGTCAATTTAGATAGTAGAAAACAATTTTGAGACGTTGCCTGTTTTCCCTAATGTGGTGCGCACCCGCCCTGTAGCGAAATACCGCGAGGGTTGGTGGCACGGGCAGATTTATAAAGAGCCATATTTTGGGGTGTGCTTGTGTAAACCTTATTATCGGTATTTTTATTTAACTACATGTACATCTTAAATATTTTCCCAATGCATGAATGACCTAATGAATAATTTTTTTATCAACCTAAAATTTTAAGATTTTATAAAGGTTATTCAGTACATTACTTAATAGTTTTTATCAATCTTTTGAATGTGTAGGTACCTACGTAATCTAAGGCAATTAGGCCTATTTTAATAAATTACTGGATAACGTTTACATTAATAAGTTTTATGAAGAATTCAGTTCAAAAGTATTTTTATTTCATAGAACGAAGTTAAGCCATAATTATTATAGGAATGTTTAATAACATATGTTTTGTCAAGTGCAGCTTTTTATCAAAAAAAAGTGATAAGAATATGTAATTATGAAATGATTTAATATCCTTATAATTAGTGAATATTATAAAAAAGTTAATTTCATAAAACAGTTTTTGGTACTCAAACGAAATATCCAGCACACAAATACATAACTGGAAAAAAATACGATTGTAAAACATTCATTTCCTCCTCGCATGTATGTACTTCTTACTTTTGTTTATTACTTCGAGCATGTTTCGGAAATGTTCATTATTCGCGTAATAGGTTATTCCAATTTGCCTCAACAGATATATATATTACATGCCTAAAAGTATATAGCCTAAAGGCGGTCTTTTACCATCCGACCATCCAGAGAAGTTCAGGTATACTTTTATTACGCTATAAATCAATTTATGGAAAACTGTAATTGAACATACGAACGTAAATTATACGTAAGTAATTCTTATATAATTAACAATACAGTGGTCATAAATCTATATAATAATTTTAAACAATGATGGTCAACATAATATTCTCTGGACAATAGATCAATTACTACGCTAAATACTATTGCACCTAGCGAATACTGAATACCTATTTATGACGTGTGCATAAACGTCGATGTTTATACTATAGCCTTATCCTTGTATTTGTTTGCATAAAGATGTTATCAAGCACATTAAGCGTCTTATCCGTATTACCTAAAAGTCCATCTTTCTTGGGATTAACCCTATAGTATCTTATTATTCCGTTGTCCAGTTTAATTCTTTTCTATTAATGGGATACAAAAATTAGAATACCAGGTTAAAAAATTAAACTCGGAGAAAGTCAATAAAACACATGTAAAAAATAAATGCAGTATTTATACAATTAAGCTTATTTAAAAAAAAAGTTTCCGTCTCGTTTATGCATACTTTGGCATTTTAACAATTTATCTCTAAACTAACTATTAACATTATTAAAAAATAATTTTCGTGAGTAATGTGTCATATTGAAACAAAATGAAATAGAAAGTATTAATTGTCCCTTGCGGATTAAAATTCCACTGACTCACTGTATACCTGTTGTATACAATAAAGATACGAGGTCATTAGTGGTATCACGTTATTATGTCAACAAAAAGAACGAGAGGAAGAAATGACGCGCGTGAGTCACATTATGGAACGCGGAATATTCAACTTGTTTGAATGCAGTAATTATATTTTTATATATATTTATAACAGCCAGACGTCGACATTCATATAGAATACAGAAGCGAAATGCATAACTTTAAAATCTGGAATGTAATGTTTTATTGATGAAACTGACAAACATACAATCGTAGTAAAAACGCAATAGGTATGTTGTATATGTACATAAATTTCCTTATGCGTTTTGTAGCCTAAACTATTACAGAGATTTTAGCAAAATTTCATTCATTTATAACACATTACATGGGGGTAATTACTCCATATTAATTACTAACGGCTTTGACACAGGCGGGCGTTTTTGTTTTTGATATTCATTAAGAAGAACATTTAACATAGAACATAATGGCATTTATTGCTTCATGAGAATATTTTGTGAAATTTGAATATTGCCTTAGTTAAGTAATTAAAGCATAATGTCCAGTCATTGCGATTGAAGATGGGAATCCAAACGAAGCAATAATAATTTGTACAATCTCATAGAATAACGGCATTTTATTTAAATGAGTCACGAAATCGACACTCGACCTCTAAGGATCTTATCGACAATCACGTCTGGAGATGGTATCACCTGAGATATACCATTATGTCATTAACTAGACAAGTAACCTCCCTTATTAGCCGCAAAACCTTTACAAGGAGATGTAATGTTGCCTGCTCTTGTATTAGAATAATACTTAATGACATAATTTATTTGAAGTTTTTTTTTTTTCAAATTGGTGCAATTAACGGAGTTAGATTATTAAGATATAGTTTGTCAAGAATATTTTGCAAATGTTTACAGTATATACTATACTAAGATAATAAAGCAACAAAACTATATACTACTAGCTGCTGCCCGCGACTACGTCTGCGCAGAAAAGGCTGAAGGCATAACATTCAGACTGATAGACATAAAATATGTATATAAATTATAGCCTATGTCTTATTCTGATGTATAAGCTATATTATTGTAAAGTTTCCTTAAAATCCATTCAGTAGTATTTGCGTGAAAGAGTAACAAACATCCATCCATATATCCAAACTTTCGCGTGTATACATACTGTTAAGCCTTATTTTATTATCTTTCAGTTTTTATGAATTTAACATGGTTGTACCTTTAACAGGATTCATCTGATAATATATGACTTGTTAATCAAAAAGTAATAATATACGACTTAATAATGCTTATGTAAAAATTTCATAAAATGTTATACAAAGTTAATTACTCAGAACTTGCTTATTGGCTTAAATTGGCAGAATTAAGATTGGTCTTTTGCAATTTAATCTTGATTTTAATTAAATTCATATTCTACAGTATTTCATTTAAAAGTTGGTTCATTTTTTCTGTTTTAAGTTCACTTTCCTCACGACTGCTTATTTTTCAGTAACTTTTTCAATTTCAGTCTCTTTGCGTCGCGTTCTTTATACACAAATTATTGTACCTACTCGGACTAACCAGATAATTTGAATTAATGTTTATAAATTTAAATTAATGTTGGTAAGCGCATCAAGAATGGCTGGACCAATTCGTCTAATTTTTCGTACGCTCCTTAAGGTCCACGGAAGGTTTTAATACTATTAAAAAAAAAAGAACGAAGTCAGTTCGGGCAGTTAGTTATTAATATAATAGGGAATCTTCATCGGCGTGTGCGTATCAGCCTATCGCTTAGCAAAGACGCCAATTAGGAATTTTGTATCGTTCATAACATTCTAATAGGACATAACACGCGCTGTACTTAAAAACAAACACTCATGAACCGTTTCTATGCGTTCGCTCTTAACCGCCTCGGGTCACAGGCATAAGCGGGGGACAATGGTGCAAAGAAAAAATAGCTAGGGTTTCAAACAGTGGCGGATTTGTACTATTGCTTCCCCTAGCTCCCAGCCCATGTAGTAAGTACCAGCCACCCCTTTCTCAGCGCCCATCATGTATCTTGTTATCATCAGTGAATTTTTGGGCACGATTGGCCGCCCCTAATTATGCGGCCGCCCTAGAGCCGGGCCTATTGGGCCTTAGGGCAAATCCGCCACTGGTTGCAAAAGCGTTCTAACAATTTGATACGTTAGTACGAGCTTCTACGTCGCGCACGCAATCAACTTAATGTGCAGATAAATTGTTGAAAAGCCGCCTTCTTAGTAACCCAGGTGGTCTAACCACTAAGCAGTCTGTATCCTAACCGCGTGAAAGAGTAGACGTTTAATCTGCTGTTTTTATTGCTTTTTAACAGTGGCTTATCGACATCTTGTGTACTTCCTATACAGCAATCATAACGTGCAATTAATATCATTTGAGTAACTCTTCTTGCCTAGATACGTGAGTAATGGGAAGAAACCGAAGCCGCTTCCTAACATGTATTCCAAATGAGATGTCAAACCGATGTTGTGTCTTCCTATCAGACGTCCGCAATGATAAATCAGCGAAAGCGCTTTTTATCCGACTGCGATGATGCCAATAAAGGAGAGTTATGTTTTGACTTGCATGCGCGCTACACCGGTATGTTTGTGACGTCGCAATGTTCATTGTAACTATTAAATGGCTGAACCGATTTTAATGAATATAATATTGTTAGTTTCGTCCTTA